GGGGAGCGAGCTGGCGGCAGCCGCGGCCCCAGAGGGAGGCGCTCGCTCTCCTCGCCGGGCCGCCTGCTTACTTGTAGTACTCGGCTGAGATGTCGAACCTCCCGAGGAAGATGTGGGCGTTGCCCAGGTTGCTGTAGGCCCTCCTCTCGGCGGATTTGTCCCCGAACTCCTTGGCGATGGCCAGCCGCTGAAATGGAGGCAGCAGGGAGCCCTTCCGCCACACGCCACCCGGTGCATCCGCTCCGCCGCCCCCAGCCCGGCACCCCCATCGCAGCTGACAAGCACGCCCGGCCCGGCCTGGCCCGGCTGCCCACGCATTCCCACCCTGTTCTCCGCCGGTATCAGGAATGGGTGTGGAGCATGGGCCCACGGGCCAAATCCACCCCCCGGAGTCCCCAGATGGCACCCGCTGCCCGGCCCCTTTCCCCAGAAGGCCACTTGGGGGCTGGCGGTTTCTCTCCTGTGCCGAGAGGGGAAGAACTTCTTCCCGGGCTGAGCCTCTGGGTGCTGGGACAGGCGGGAGGGACACGCGGGCACGAGGCCGTCCTACCTGCTTGTGGAAGATGACGGCTCTGCCGAAGTTGCCGAGCAGATACTGGCTGTTGCCCAGGTTGCCGTATGCGCGGCCCTGAGCGGCCCTGTCCCCCAGCTCCTTGACGAGAGACAGATTCCTCCTGCAGACACCAGAATGGAGGCAGCGTTGCAAGGCTGAGGACCCCCAGGCCCGGTGGGGGTGTGTGGGCGCCTGCAGGTGGCTGGCGTGCTGGGAACAGCGTGGGCTACTCCCAGGGTAAGGAAGGAGAGCCCAGGCCTCCCTCGGCACCGATGGCGGGAGCAGCAGAGCCCGTTCCCCCGCCTCTCCCCAAGCTCCAGCTGGCCTCCAGGCTCGGGGAGGAACCTACAGAGGGGCCCTCAGCCTCCAGGGGCCAGAAGAGCAACCTCCACAGGCTACATAAGGCTCCGAAGCCAGAGGGTGCCCTCTCTTGGTGAAGGGGTGGGGGCCGCTGGGAACCAAACTGGGGACCCTCTGCATGCAGAGCAGCAGCTCTGCTGCTGAGCTCCAGATGCTGCACCTAAAGACCAAACAAGATTCTAGTCCTCATGGGTCTGATAAAGGAGCTTCTTTAAAGTGGTTCATAAGAAACTGGCTTAGACTGAATCAGACTGAGTCTGTCTAGCCCAGTGTTGTTGACACGGACTGGCAGCAGCAGCTTTGCAGGGTTTCAGGTAGCAACCATTCCTAGCTACTTGGAGATGCTGCCGGGGATCAAAGCAGGGACTGTCCCCAAACCAAGTGGGGCCTCCAGCCCTGGCTCCCGTTTGAATGGTGCGAGCCCTGAGGATGTGGCCTCTGGTATCAATCGCCGGGGTCCATTGCTAGGTGGATTTCACTGGGATGGAGCGACAGGCGCTGCCTGAAATGGCTGGGATCTGCGGCCTCATCTCATGACTGGTAGCTTCAGTGGCCACAACTGAGGAGCAGGTACTCCGGATCCAGAAGGATCTGGACAGACTATGGATGTGGGCAGGAGACAACAGGATGGCGTTCAATGTGGATAAGTGCAAGGTCTTGCACTTGGGGCATCGGAATAGCTGTCATAAGTACAGGTTAGGTGATAAGTGGCTGGAGAGCAGCACTTGTGAAAGGGACCTTGGGGTGCTGGGCGACTGCAGGCTAAACATGAGTCAGCCGTGTGACGTAGTGGTCAAGAGGGCGAACGCCACCCTTGGTTGCATAGCCAGAAGTGTGGCTTCTAGATCGAGAGAGGTATTACTACCACTATACAACTCTGGTGCGCCTGCAACTGGAGTATTGTGTTCAGTTTTGGGCCCCTCATTACAGGAAGGATATAGCCAGGGCAGAGTCAGTGCAGCGTAGGGCCACAAGGTTTGTGGCTGGTTTTCAGGGGATGCCGTATGAGGCAAGACTGAGGGAACTGGGTCTCTTCAGCCTGGAGGAGAGGAGACTCGGAGGGGATATGCTGGCGACATGCAGGTATGTGAGGGGATGTCACACGGAGGTGGGTAGAGACCTGTTCTCCCTGGTAGAGGAGAGCAGGACGCATTCCAATGGAGTGAAGCTCAAGGAACCAAGGGAAACTCACACAAGTCGAGCTGCAACCAAGGATGGGCTCGTGCAGCTGTCTCACAAACATTCCCCCATAGACAATGGCAAAAGGGGCCGATTCAGCCAGAAGCAGAAATTTGCAGCAGTTACAACATTTGTGCCAAGCTGGGCTGGGACAGCTGTGCAAGCTGAATGTGCGCGGACTGTCAGCCGTCTGCAAACATCCTTGGCTGACGGGGCCTTGAACGGGGCGTACTTGCGTGTGTTGGGAGCAAAACCGAAATTGCTCCACACCACGAGGGGGACTGCTGACACACGGCGAGGGAGGCAGCTCCGGGGGGCGGGGGGGCAGCAGGTTCCCGCCTGCTCACAGCCCGGCGCGGAAAAGGGTCGGGACTCACTCGTAGAATTCCGATGCCCTCTCTAACGCCTCTTGGACCTCCTGAGGCAGCTGCCCCGGCTCCTGGGGCCAGCTCCAGGAGAGCTGCTTGCCCTTGGCGTGGTAAACGTTTCCGATGTTGTACAACGCTCTGGCCTCCCCCACCTTGAAAAGGACACAAAGCAGACAAACAGAACCGGCAGGTCCTGGGGCGCGGGAGCCTCCCGTGCCTGAAGAGCCAGCGGCTCCAGGTACCCTGGGCCCAGCCTTCCCCCGCTGGGGTCCCCGGTGTGCCAGCTGGCAACTCCCCTGAGCAGGGCAGCTCCCTTCCTGCCGAGACCCCCCGGGGCCTGAGCCTGCCCAGCCTGCCGCGTTCAGAGTGCGACACTCAGGCCTCCTCTGTGCGCAGGGGTGCTCCCCCCCAGCTGTGAGGACTCCATTGCACCGAGTCCTGCAAGGATGTCTCGACTGTCTTTTCTGCCCCTCCTCGCAATTTCCCTTTCAAAGGCAAGGGGCCAAATATAGTCGCGGATGCAGCCCCACCCCGCGGGCATCAATCCGGGGTGAGCCCGGGGGTGCCTAAACAGGCCCCACCCTCCCAGCCAGCGGAGTGGAAGCTCCCCGGCCGCCCCAAGCACAGCACGGAGGTGCTCCCAGTCTGCTGCAGAGGAAGGGCAAAACGTGGCTCCTGCGGCCTCCCCAGCACGAGAGGCAGGCTCTCTGGCACCTTGTCTCCTTGCTCCTGCGAGATGTCTAGGTGCCTCTGGCAGCAGACGACGGCCTCGTCAAACTGCCCCAGGATTTTCAGCGTGTTGCCAAGGTTCCCGCTGGCTTTGGCCTCTCCGATGCGGTCCCCGATGGTCCTGCGGAGAGCATTGGGATGTACACTGCCTTAGTCAAGGTCGCTGTGATGGGGCACCCGCTAAGAGCCTGCACCCCAGCGGGGCCCACTGACAGGAGCCCCCAGACTTGCTCCTCCCCTTCCGCATTGCAGTCTGCGCGTTTCCCCTGCCTCTGGTGTGGAAAAGGAAGAACAAGCGGTTCTACAGCCGGCCAGCTCTGTGGTGGCGTGCCTGCCAATCACGCAAGTGGGAGCCGGGGGGGGGGGGGGGGAGGGACAAGAGAAGCCCATGACCGTAGCAGGGAGAAGGTGAACTCCAGGGCCCCCAGACTGGCGCTGGACCTGCCCTTGCCCCAGAGGGGACTATTCCTCCTAGAGAGCAGCCCTGCCACCTGTTGCCCTCCAGACTATATATCTCATCATCCCAGGCTGGGCTCCCAGGCTCCTCCTGAGTGAAATACAGCCAGGAGCTCAGGGCTCTTACCTGGCGAGGGTGAGGTCGTGCCTGTGGAACTCCAGTGCTTTGGCATATTCTTTCAGGTAGAAGTAGGCGTTGCCCAGCTGGCTGTAGATGGCGCTCAGTGTCTTGAGATCGTCCGTTCCCACCTGCACGGCAGCTTCGAAGAAGGCCACCCCGGCCGTGAAGTCCCCCGCCTTGCATGCGCGCTCCCCCGCCAGGGCCAGCTCCAAGCCTGAGGCCTCCATCCTGCCAGAGGAAGGAAGAGGGGAAACCGATTGTGCGCTGGTGTCTTGTCAACATTGCACACCACCCAGGGTTCCTGCCACCCGTTCTCCTCTCAGAAACGTGCCGCGGATTTCAAGAACGCACAGCATGTGGCTATGGGTCTATTCTGTATGTCTTTCTCTTCCTCTCACACAAGGACGAGGGCCCCCTGAATCGCTCTTTATGTTTCTCTTTCTCCCCCTTTCCTCCTCTACAGGGGTCCCAGGGGGCATCTCAGGAATGGGATTTGGCCCTTGGACTGAAAGCAGTTTGGCAGCCTGGCTCCAAAGCCTTGGCACAGGGCAGGTGGAAGGCAGCTACCCCTGCACTGCCCGAACTGGGACATGCACATGGTGGGCAGGTCGTGAGCAGAGCGGGCTGGAGCCGGGGTCAGACTAGATAGCCCTGGAGACCCCTCCTGGCTCGCTCTGCTTCTGTCTCTCACTCCAAGACCATCCCTTCTAAGGTCTGCTTCTGAAACGCGTCCCTCTGCCCTGCTCTGAAGGGAACTGGCCTTTTCATGAGCGACAGCACAAGAGCAATGCTGCTCTTTGCCTGAGACGCGCTTGGAAGGCTCTCTCTCTTTTCATCCTTTTGGTGCATCTGCCGGCACCCGGCTCCCCGCTTTGCCTTTTGCCCTGATGCTGTTTATAGCATTCGATCACCGTGTGAGGTTCTTATTGTTCTACTGGTCCTTATAGTGAGCTGCCCTGCAAGGCCGTTGGGCGGGACACACCAGCAAATGAAGGAAAGCAGAAAGAACCATGAGGAAAGCAAGCCATGGCCAGGAAAGCGGCTGTCCCCTGGGATCAGCGGCAGAGGCCCTGCTCCGGGAGCCCTCCGTGAAGGACATTAGGAGGGTGAGCACCCGGAGCAGGGCCTTCTCTGCAGTGGCACCCCACCTGTGGAACGCGCTCCCCAGAGGGGTCTGCCTGGCGCTGTTGGCATTTGCTTTTCGGCGCCAGGCCAAGACCTTTTCATCTACATGTTATTTTAATGGTTAAATTTATTTATTGATTTTATATCTTCCAGGGATGTCTCCAGATTTTTAATGTAATTTATTTATTTATTTAAAACATTTCTATGCCGCCCCCATCGCAACAAAGCCTCGGGGCAGCTCACAACAAAACTGCATAGTGTTTAGTTGTATTGGAAGCCGCCCTGAAGCTTTTGCGAATGGGACGGCATAGTTTCCAAATAAATGAATGTATGAATGAATGAATGAATGAATGAACTGCGGCTCTGGCATCACATTCGCGCCTGCAGATCAGTTAAGCTCGTGGGCACGTTCACTGCCGTGCCGAGCAAGCGCTCAATTGAGTTGGGTGGCAGGGGCCCATGGGAAGCTATTCACTGCTCGCGCAATCGCTATGGGAAAGGAGGACCGGGCCTGGGGGGCCGGCCGGGGGTGAAGGCAGCCTGTCAAGTCACCAGGAGGGGCAGCTCCCTGAAACGCCACCTGGCATCTGTGCCAAGAGGCAAACCTGAGCACAACTTCCTGCACCTGGCTGACCCCCAGATGCATCAGACGTCAATTCCCATGATGCTGTACCAAAGCACTTTCAAAACCTTAGAACCTCACCTCCCCGGCACCTCATGGGACAGGGGAAGGCAGAAATTCGTCCCTTTAGTTCACATGATCTATTGTGCAAAAGAATAAGGAACCAGTTTTGCTCCTGATTCTGCACACCACCAGCATCCACTGTCTGCATGTATCTGCTCTTTTAATCTGATTTCAATCTTATTTATTTAACGTATTCCCCACCCACACACAGGGCAGGTGCAGAGCAATGAAACTCATGCTGCCAGAAGGTGAAATGGTCATTTAAAAAACCAGTTATCTGCAAAATAACCAACAGCAACATAAGACAAATGCACCCACCACAGCGAACTTGCCCAAGGGTTCGGAACACGCTGCCTCTGAGCTCGCCTCCATCTGGGTCTGCCCTTGCATGCGGTTGTTTTCTTTCCCGGCTTTCCATGGTCACACAAGGCCATGCGAATATTTTAAGGTTACAGGTTCTTCCACGGGAAGTATTGACGCTTCTGGTTGTGTTTCGGATGAACAATCCAACATGCACCAGAGATCAATCCCTTCTGATCCGCGTGAAACAGTGGAGCGGGTGACGGACCGATCATCCATGACGACTGCAGGCCTCTGCACTTCCACGTTTTAAACATGTGCGGCCGGGTGGAATAGCTGGGCGCCTCCCGCAGGCCCACAGCCAACGGACAGGCGCCCTCGCAGCGACTCCTCCTCTCCCCCAGGGCAAATGTCTCTTGCACACTGCTTGTCCTGGCCAGACAAGGTGTGGGTGCGAATCAGCAGGGGGTGCCCAGCCTGTTTGCTCCCAGGCTCTCTGCCTTCCGGGTGAGCAAGTGGGAGCCAGGAGGAAGAGCGGGACCAGACTGTGGCCACGGTGGCGAGAAGCTTTCCAGGCTCCCGGAGCCGCAGTCAGGGCTGTGTGTGAGATCGGCAGCCTGCTGCAATCGGTGCTCCAGCCCCTGCCACAGAACCTGCTGCTCATCCCCCCCACATGCCCCCTTTCTCCACCCACAGCTCAGTTCTAGGGTTCAGGAGCCCCCCCACACCACAAAGTGTTTTTAGGGTATGAGCCACCTCCAGGGAGCACACAGTACCTATAAACCAGCCCTTAAAGATAATAAACGAGAACCTAAGAAAATCAGCCTCCTCAAGTATTCCTGCAGATGCCTGGCAGGACAGAAAGCATGAGCCCGTGGGACCGCTTTCCACCCAAGGGCTGAATTCCAGGCTGGGGAAATTCTCGGGGCCACGTTCCAGTGGCCCAAAGGCAAAAATAAGTTTCCCCCTTCTTCTCATTTCTCTTTTCTGGCACATAGATGCACACCTATTTTCATGCTCGTTTCTCAAAGGTATCTTTCCCATAGATTTATACAGGTTTCTGTGCAGTTCCCAAAGGACGCGTTTCCTCGTGCATATTTCCTGAACATACGCATTTCCCAAATGCATTATATTTCATTCAGCAAATCCCACTGCAAGCTCAGGAATGTATTTCAGACTTCAATTCTATTCAAGACCATATTGGATCTGGAGGTTTAAGCTTAGTAAATTCCAGTGAAAAACAACCCGAAGGAATGTGGGGAAGAAACTTTGCCCAGGAGCTGAATTTGAAGAAGCTGGAAAGATTTTTGCAGCTCCCAAACCACATCTGGCAGCCGGCATGCTTTCTTTGCACATCACAATAAGATCCTTGAAGAAATTGCTTGTGGCAGCATGGAGGGCATCTGGCGGCCTGCCCTCTCGCTGACCGATGTGCATCGGAAACTTCCACCAGCAGCTCCCTTGGAAGGGCCTGGGGCAAAAATAAAAGAGCTCCCCAGAGATAAATGGCCTTTCAGTTGCTTATGAATGCTGCGAAGGAAGGAGGGGGCCTGCCCCTCGACCCCCAGGCAGCAGGCCGTTGTGAGAACACAGGCTCCTGCCCACTCCCGGACAGGTCGGTCCATGAACGTGGCCAAAGAAACATAGAAACAGGGTGAGTCAGAAGGGGGCTCCCGGGCCATCTAGTCTGACCCCTGGCTCCAGCCAGCTCCACTCACAACATGCGCACCATGTGCATGTCCAGCCTGTCCTTGAACACCCTCACCGGTGGGGCCTCAACGACCTCTCGTGGGAGCCCATTCCCACCCTCGGGGTCTTGACTGTGCGGAAGTGATTCCCGGCATCCAAATGGATCCTTGGCTCCCTGAGCTTTGCTCTGTTGGAGCGCATCCTGCCTTCCTCTGCAGGGGAGAACAGGTCTCTGTTCTCCTGCCCTGAACGGGCAAAGCTATGTGAGCAAGCGTGAGGAAAGCATCTCTTGAAGGGAGCTTTTTTGGTGTTCAGCAAATGTTTTGAATTACAACCCCTAGCATCCCTGAGCATTGACTACACTGCCCAGGGCTGATGGGAGTTGACGTCCAAAACACCTGGAGGGCATCCAATACAGGAACTTGCAGGGTTCATTCCAAGGGGCAGCTGAACACATTTTGTGCAGCTGTTAAAAAAAATGTTTGGTAGCAACAAAGTTTTTGTGCAGGCAGGAATAAAATGTCTTGTTACTGCTACTGTTATTGTCTTGTTATTACTTTCCATTTGAAAAAATTATGGGAGATGCTCATGCCCTCATACAGAAGGAAGGGCCGTCACAGCATCCTGTGCTGTTGAGAGTGGTGCTTGGAAAAGATGTACTTTTTATGCCTGCCTTCTCTGTGCCAGGCAGTGGGGACGCACAACGACAAATGGCCTTCAGCACCCCCACACAAGGCCGACTCGCTGCAAATCTCTAGGAGGAGTGGCATGGCTTCTGCTGGAGGGGAAGCCAAATTTCTCACTTTTGCAGCAACGAGCAAAGAGCCTTGTGATAGGCAGCAATGCCTGGCCTGAAGCGGCCTGGGATCCTCTTCCCGGGACGCTCTCGAAACCTGGGTGCTGAGCCCGCAACTGCAGATCATGCGTGGCCACCCGGGTTCTCTAGCAGGCTGCACCCCCTTCTGGCCACACTCTCTCAGCTCTACTCCTAGCGGCCCAGAGCCAACAGTTCTCCAGCTTTTCCTCTCCTTAAGGCTGACTTAGTGACAGGAGGAGCTCAAGCATGCAGATATGTTTGGTACTTTCAGTCCCTTTCCCTACCAATGAAAGCCCTAAGAACCTCCCCCCAAAGTTTGCACATGTCCCCCCCACCCCCCAGAAAGCTCAAAATGCCTCTTCCAAGGCCCCGTTACTAGCAGGAAGGGCTTTAAGCTTCAATAGGCTGCGTCTTTTGGGTCACTGTGGTTGCTTGGGTCCCACCCATTCAGTCTGTAGCCTGCAGGAGCTTCCCCAAGACAGAACCCAGGCGCCAGCCCAAAAATGGGGCCAGCACCCTGCACGCACGGTCCCTTTCCATCTGCCTTGCATTCAGGATGTCAACAGATCGCACATTTGGTGAAGTGGCCCACAGAGATGCCCACAGAGGCT